GGTCTGTGTTTCAAATGCCAGTTACTTAGTTTTCCATAATTCCCCTAAAGATAAGTAATGTGATCTCTGAAATTCTGAGGGGAGTTGGAGCATCTCCTGATTTGTCTGAAAAATTGTGCAGTTGATTTCTTTCTGTACAGGTTGGTAGGGACACAGCTTGTGTGGTCTAATTGTTATTTATTTAATTTAAAGTAAATTAAATTTAGCCCTCTATATCATATGTTTTGCTGCTAATGACAAAGATTTGTATTTTTCTGTAATTGAATAGTCTGCTAGCATCTCATGATAAATTTAATGCTATGTGCAGTGTATTTTCACTCAACTCCTGTGTTTTATGAAGCCCCTTCTTGAGTGTATGTCAGGACTCTCCTCTCCCCACAGACAGTCTTCTGATTGACTACCAGTTCACCTTCAGCTTGTTACAGGAAGATGATCGCCACCACACCGCCATCAACTTCATAGCAAACCCAGAACAGGTAAGGAGGCGTCACCTCCCGCAGTGAGTGCTGCCACTACCAAGGCATCCACATTTTTTATTATCATTTTCCTGTGATTTTATTCCCCAGAAGTTTTACATAGGAGGAATTCTGTAGAAATTACCAAAGCTCTTAAATTTTTATGAAACTTGGATTTACTTGTGACTCAGAGAATTGACAAGTTGGTATTTTTGATTGGTAGTCTCCTGGTTTAAATTATACATCCATATACTTATTTATTCAGGAAATTCTTCTTTACCTTGAATTCTTGTGTTTTACTTGTAAATAAGAATTTTCTGAATCTCAAGTGTATAATTATAAGCATGAATGCTGTTATAAACTTGTCAATTATCTCAATCTCAAGGACATCCAAATTTTATGAAAAGATGATTTAAGAAACACAGGAATTCAAGGCGTGTTATATCAAACTCTCGTTCATTTGCAGTGAAGCATATCATTCGTTTTCATTGACCTTTGCCCAATCTACTGTTTCACTGAGTTACACAGATGTCGACTCACATTCGTGTAATTCTACAAGCTGATGAAGATCAAATGTATTCACTACCTGCCAATAGTAAATCTAAAAACATGTCAGTTTAAGAAAGTCTTGTCCATTTTTTTTTTTAACTAAACAAGGTAGACATACTCCCTTGCATGAGAAGCATCTCCAGGGATGCTTGCAAGATTTTCTTGTGTAATTCCTCTTATTTAAGAACAATTCACTCAGGACTATCTCTAAAGTTAAAACAACTTATTGGTGAAAGCTGCTTCTCCTTTTTTTTTTTTTTTTTGGTTTTTCGAGACAGGGTTTCTCTGTGTAGCTTTGTACTTTTCCTGGAACTCACTCTGTAGCCCAGGCTGGCCTCGAACTCACAGAGATCCGCCTGGCTCTGCCTCCCAAGTGCTGGGATTAAAGGCGTGCGCCACCACCGCCTGGCTGGTGAAAGCTTCTTAATTTATTCTGTAAAATAAAATAAGTACATGTCTTATCATTTGTAGACTTCTTACATTTTTACTTTTTATGGCAGATTTCAGTCTTCTCTCACTGTAGGTTCCCTCTAGTTAGCGCTTTCATATGAACCATTTCTGAGTGGGCACCTGTGCCATGCAGCTTCAGTGAGCTCCCCCATCACCACCCCAATCTACAGCACTGATGTCATCGTTTTCTAGATTGACCGTGGCATCCTAGCTGCATAGAGCTCTACAAAGAGCGGAGTGGGCACTGAGTGGGCACTGAGTGGGCACTGAGTGGGCTTGGAGCTTTAGTTACAGTACTTAAGGTATTTCCCCAATAACAAAACTTTGAATTTGTAGAGGATGAACTAAAAAAGAAAGATGGTTTTATATGCTTACACTGACCATTTTGTTATGAACTTTTAATTGTTCTCATTTTCACCCCACCAAGAATAAAGCAAAGCACACAATATCAAGAGTTGACTAAACTTGAAAGGAAGGGCTTATGCTTTCTCTTGCATACGTTGTTTCATAACAATAATAGTTTTAACACTCAGGCACACGTTACAGACACAAAACCTACCCTCTTAGAAGTTACTGAGCCCGTCCTCTATAGACCCTCTCTTTCTCTGGGTAAAGACAAAGATTAAACAAATAGAAAAGAAGACATCTTGAACTAATGATAATAATAGCAAACTACCCTTAAAAGTACAATGTCCTTAAAATCTCTTCTTAGAGGGCTGGAGAGATGGCTCAGAGGTTAAGAGCACCGACTGCTCTTCCAGAGGTTCTGAGTTCAATTCCCAGCAACCACATGGTGGCTCACAACCATCTGTAATGAGATCTGGCGCCCTCTTCTGTATACATAATAAATAAATAAATCTTTAAAAAAAAAAAAAAAAAATCTCTTCTTAGAAATTACCTAAAAGCAGAAGGTCAAATTATTAGAGAAGATAAATGAGGAACTTTTGAGTTTATCATAGTTTAATTTTCATTAAACAGCATAAACACTATCTGTATTTATTCAGTTGAATGTTTATATCATATACAGTTTTGTAAATTTAATGAGCAAAAATCAAATTAGCGAGTTGACTAATATGTATTTAATACATTTCCACCTTTTTAACATTAATTTTTTTTCTTGATAGTCAAACAAAAATTTGGACATTTCGATTAATGCTTCCAACAACTTTAATCTCAACATTACCTGGTCGGTTGGCTCAACAGGTAAACAGAATTTTCTGTCATCTCTCTTCTGTCTGAGTTTATGCATGGAAGTTGTTCTGATCTGATTTACTATTCTAAAATAAATAAAAAAAATACAATTTTTCCCATCACTCTCTGCTTTTACTGATAAAAATAGGAAGTAGTAACTTGAAAGCTTAATACCATAATTTCCTTATTCAATTAAAATTAGAAGGCTAAGAAATAATGTATACCACTTAAGCATTAAAAATGATAATGTTAGGAAATTCTGTGATTTTAATTAAGATAGATTAGTTCTAAAGCGTCTAAAGAGATTGAGATTTCAATTATTCATTTCATTATTGAAGTTACAAATTTTATTATCCATCCCAATATTTACATGAAACAAAAGTGTTCTTCTCTACTTACTGATAAAAGCAACAATCTATTATTTTCTATCTTAGAGATATATTCTTTCTGGTTGGCATCCGGGCTAAGAGGAAATAAATTTTTGTAAGCATGTCTTCCATAATAAAGTTCACAGATTGAAATGATTAATTTTTAAGAAATCATAACTGTGAGGAAGATAAATTGTTATGTTGAATTATCAATGTGTGAGGTCATTTTTCAATACATCTGTTAAGTGACGAGCTCAGAGAATCTACATGTTACGAATGCACGAGTTATTTTTGTGATAGATTATGCGAAATGCATTTAGTTACTCAGTATACTAATTCTAATTGTTTTTCTGTTCATTAAGGTGGAGATCTGGCTAAGGCAGTTGAAATGTCCTGTGTGTCCAATATTGTGTTTACTAATTGAACATTTACATAGTGTTTTAAATTAATGGCCTCTTTCTAGTTTTTTAAAAGTAAGGATGTTTCAATTTGTAGAAAGGCAAATAAATTGATTTTTTCATTTTTTAATTGGATTAAGACACGATCAAATACGGTTTGATTATAATTTAAGTGGTAAGCAGGATGACTTCACCTTCTGGACCCATGTGTCCAGGGGGCGTTCAGTGCTGGGGGCATTGTAGTGGGTGAAGTGCTTCCTTCTTCCTGGGACAAAGGTTTGGTTTGAAAACCAGAAATTATGCAGCCTCTGGGGTCACAAGTATTACAGAAGAATGTCAAGTCTCACAGCCAGCCTGGTAGCATTTTTAATGTGGATTTTATACTGAAGCTGTTACGCTGTATCTCTGGCAAACCAGTGTGCAGAGGTGCTATGCGAGCCTCCACAGAGAAGAGCAGCTGGTGTGGCAGTTCCGGTGATGGTGTTCTTGAGATTTCAATTTGTAAGACTTTGCTGCACTATATATTTTGACTTAATAAAGATCCCCATTTCCTAGTATCAATTATAATTTTTTTCATATTCATATTTTAGGAGGAACAATATCTGGGGAAGAGACTCCTATAGTTTCTAAGTCAAATGTAAAGGAATACAGAGATAGCTTTTCCTATGAAAAATTTAACTTCAGAAGCAATCCTAATATCACATTTTATGTGTATGTCAGCAACTTTTCCTGGCCTATAAAAATACAGGTAAGCATAACAACATTTGTTTCTAATGATGGTGAACATCCTCATGGTGGAAGAATACTGATTTTTCCAAAGAGATGGCATATGTGTATTCATTGCCTTGAGCAGTAAGGCATTTACGGACCCTTTGTAAGGGATCATGTGTGATTATCTATGATGAATGAATGATTCCACAAAGACATACCAATAACATTAGACCAACTAGAGTGTGCTAAACATTTTCAGTAGGTATTATCTTGTGAAAGATGCCATGAAGCTTGAGACTGCTATGATGTTTGGGTTTTCTGATTATTAAGTTAATGGGGAATGCCTTCATTTAAATCAATTTAAAATAGTGTGTGTTTCAGTAATCTTTACTATTGTTTTTTAGTGCATACTGGGTATAATTTATCTTTCCTTTAAGATTTAGGATTAACAATCCTTGGCAGTTACATTTTTAGGACCCCTGACTCTCATAGTTGGTTTCCTCATTTATGTCCTGTATCTATTACATTTCATCTTATTTTCTTTTATTGAAAATAGATTTTTTTGCTCACATTCTATTCTAATTACAGTTTACCCTCTTTACTCCTCCCAGTTATTCTCTCCTCCCTCCCATCCAGATCCACACCCTTTCTGACTTATTAGAAAACAAGCAAGCTTCCAAGGGATAATAATGAAATATAGAAAGATACAACAAAAACAAACACATTGGAATTGGACTAAACAAACAGACAAACAAAAAAGAGCCAAGAGAAGGCACAAGAAATAGAGACCCACCTGCCTCACACCAGGAATCCCCTAGGAACACTGAACTAGATGTTAGAGCTGCACTCAGAGGACCCATGGGGGCCTGAGCTTGCTGCCTCGGTGTCTGTATGTGCTTTATTAGGTTGATTCAGTTGGAGGCTCTTGTTTTCTTGGTGTCCTCCATCTCCACTGGCTATAAAACTCTTCTTTCTGCCTGCAAAGTTCACTGAGCCCTGCGGGGAAGGATTTGATGGAGACATCCATTTTTAGGTCTGGGCATTCTAAGGTCTCCAACTCTCCGCATAATATCTAGCTGTGGGTCTCTACATTTGTTCCCACATGCTACAGGAGGAAGCTTCTCTGATAATGGCTGAACAAGGCACTGGTCATCTTTCTCTTGCATTTCATTTTCAGTGTGCTTGTTGGTAGGCTACTGAACTCTTCAGATTTATTTCTAGGAAATCTTTAAAATGTTTTTGTCTCGAAAAACCAAAAAAAAAAAAAAAAAGGTTTTTGTGCAATTGTTAATTTGTGCTTTGATGAAATATTTTTTGACATTTGGGATTTGTTTATTCCTTTATTCTTGACTAAATTGAATTCACATTAGTTTATTGACCAAGTCATTTATACTAATCCCATTCTAGAGTGTTATGTTTTAAACCATTTTAGATATTGAAACTATAGTAAGAATTGTCAATTTATGCATCACAATTACAAGGCTTGAATGTTTTATGTTAATTTCTGTGTTTTATAGACAGATTGAGTCCTTTTTAAAATCATGTGTTTAATGATAAAGTTGTCATTTGTAATTTAACACTTAAATAGATGTAAATACTTAATGTTAAACATAGGAGAGATTATTGCTCAGTAAACTTATTCATTTAAACTAATGTAGATTTACATTATATACTCTACAAAGAAGATTTCTACATTCAATTCTAGAAGTATCTCCATTGTAATTCATGCATTTTGATAGTGGCAAAATGTAAATTTAAGATTGATCAACATATGTACTGATCAGATTTCACTTGTTTTAATCAAATTTCAATAAAAATAAGGGCTTATTTTGTGTAGCTTATTACATACTAATTAAAATGGATATGCTTGTATTTTTAATCATTTCCTGCTTTTCAACTTTTGGTTATCTAATTATGGTTTATTTTTAAGCCAATTACATAGTTACTTTAGAATGTTCATGAATATTTAATTATTTGAAATTAACTTTCTAAATTAGATTTTCTTTTGAGAATATACTGGTAGTCTATTCTGCTTGTCAACCAGAATTTGTGTAGTGAGTGTAAATGTCGTACTCTTTCAACGTAGTCTCATTCGGTACACAGTTGATATGGATCGTGATATATAGTCTAATTTTTATTCTTTATTAAACTTGTTATATTAGCCCCAAGAAATATTTTAAAGCATGTATACCCGTTTATTGAAGGGGCTCTAAGACACTCTCAGTTGTTACACATAAAATAACAATATTGTGTTTTTTCAAATGATTTACTTCAAAGTCTTCATTTTTTTCTTTTTTGAAAAGAGAACAAGTTATATAGATTTTTAATTTAGTTCTTCTAAAGAATTTATAAAGTATAAAGAATCATGTCTTTTTAAAAATATTTCAAATATGGAAGGATTTGGAGAGTACTTGGAAGGTGCTCTGGGGAGGAGAGTGGGGGAGAAAGAAGATCATAGGCTGTAACTTTTTTTTGTATTGTTTCATCAAAATTCAAAATACTTTCTTACCTTACAGAAGTAAAACTCCTAAATTAATCTAAAACAAACAAACAACCCAGATACCTCAAACGCGAGTAAGGCACACAAAGCAGGCATTCAGTAAACTCCTAGCTGCACAAGCTCTGGTTTTAGAATTTGGAAAACAAAGTTTATTCTTTATGTTAATAGACTAGATATAATTTTATGTTTTGTAAATGTTAAAATTGATCTTAGTGAATTTTTTCATGTTTAATACTGAATCAAAATCATTTTAAAGTTCTACGAGGCGATATTTTTAGTATTACCACTTGGAGTTAGCCATTGATGTTAAAGGTAGCTGTGTGTGCTGTGGAAATGTAAGCTAGAGCATTCTTGTCCTTTCTAATTGTGATAAGTGGGTGGTTGCTTTAAATTTATGATACTCACATGTCACATTTTCATTTCTGTATTCTCAATTGTAGTGTAGTGAAATCTGAAATGTAGTTCCTGTTATTTTGTGCTCTTTTAGGACTGTCTCACTTTCCACTATACTTATACTTTCAGTATTTATCATAAAGTGCACAATTCTTAGCTATGAGGCGTAATGGAATTTTATTTATCCCTGATCCCACCATGCCAGCCAAGACAGATGGTTTAAGTCCCTGGAAGGCTTATTTCTGCTCACTCCTGGTCAGAGCCATCCCTCAGGGCTATCAATACTTCTTAATATCAACTAGGTTTGGTTCATTATTAAGTAAGGGAAATCATTTTGTTATATATATATTACAAAATGATATATATATATATCATACATATTGTTATTATATATTAGAGCTTTATTTTTTCTTTATCCTTTCAATAAAGCTATACATACAATTTTACAATCAACTGTAGAACATATATATTGTTTTTATGTTTTGCCAGTTTTGATTAAGCTGTTATGTAACATTTTACATCTTGTAAAGCACAATGTTCCTAGGCTGCATCCCACCGGTAGTCTTGAAGTCTTCCTTTTCCACTTATTCCCAAGCACTTAATTCTTCCTGTTTTAATGACAGCCATCTTTGGTGAGAGGCGACATCTCATTGTTTGCACTTTACTGATGATTTATGGTTCTGGCCACCATTTAATGTACTTGTTGACAATTTGTGTATCTTTAGGAAGATGTTCATTTGTTTCTTTTTAATGTTTGGTTATCTGGCTTGGTATGTTTGTCTATAATCTCAGCCTTGGGAGGTAGAGACAGGAGGATGGCAGAGTCTGGACTGCCTGGCTCCATAGTGAGGAAAAGTAATACCTTGTCTCAGGAATGAAAAACCGGAATAAATTTAACTGCATGCTTTGTACTGAGCCACATGGCTCCCTTCATATATAGGACAGTGCCCCTCCCGAGGATAGACAGTTCTCTCTTTCTGTAGTTGTCTTTTCATTTTTTTATTGTCCCCATGGATATGATATGTTGTTCAATGAATATTATAGTGTAAAGAAATGCCGTAGCATTGAAACATTCTCTCTAGAACTTGGGTTCTCTGTTTAAGTTCATACTTGTGCAGAGGCAGAGGCATGTTCTTACAAATTCTGTTGGAAGAACGGAATAGTTCATAGTGACTCTCTGCTCTAAGGTCTGCTTTGCCAGATAACATAGCAACTTCCCGTCTCCTTTGCTTTTGTTTGAACAATAATATATCAATTCCATCTGTTTTTAACCTGTTTGTACCTTTATATTTAAAATGGCTTTCTCTTAGATGGAATATAGTTGAAGTCCTCCCTGCTCTAATTTCTTGGGTCATAGTCTCAAGTTAGCCCATGCTGACCTTGGCTTTCTTTAGTATAGGAGGATGACCTTGAACAGCTCACTGTGTCTCCACCTCCCAAATGCTGGGATTGCAGGTGTGCTCCACCAGGATTGTAGGTGTGCTCCACCAGGATTGT